AACAATTTCGTTTTAGACTAAAACAGACCAGTTTATTTGTCTTAATAGGGCAATTTAATCAAACACTTTCTTTTTTTTAATGAAGAACAGATTATTTCAATCGTTTTGTTACTATCATAAAATAATAAGTTTAGGGTGATCTCCTGGTTGACGAGGGCTCGAATGTTACAATAGTTGTCTTTTTTCCTCTTGTTGTATTTTATGTATCATTTTATTGCTGAAAGTATTTATTTCTGCTAATGTAACTTATTCAAATGTTGACTGTTCCAGGCAGAAACACCAAACGGGGAGGTGAAAAAAGCAAAAGAAGGGCAGAGGGATGAGAAGACCACTGTCACAGGGGAAATGAGAGAAGAAGTGGAAAAATTATACAAGCTACGCATGCCTGATGATTTTTTCCAGTTTTGGGACTTTTGCAAGGGTCTTAATGCTGACTGTCCGCAAGGTATCTGTGTTGTATTGATTGTTCCATATCAGCACTATTCGCATATGTTTTTGCAGCATTATCATATGCATCCTCAAATTATTAAATGTATTCATATAAATATATTACATTTAATTAACTTAATTTTGTCTTGTTGCACTGGTGTTTAATCTTTGCATGTGTTTTTGTGTGCTTTACAGATGCCCTAAAGGAAACACTTGGGCTTCGGCTAGTTGGCCCGTTCGATATCCTGTGCAAAAAGCACAAAAGCTCATGTGCCTCTCAACCCAAATTTCACCTTCACTGGCGTTATTTCTATGATCCTCCAGAGTTTCAGACCATTATACGGGGCAACGTAGACACCCAGCACCACATGGGCTACTTCAGGTGACTGTTTACCTGTTGCAAAAAAGTTTCAAGGGTGATTGCATGAGCTATTCTTGGCACATCAAACTGCAACACAGCAGATTTTTTGTATTGTGGCTAAAATAATGCTGTCTCTCAGTGTGAGTTTCTCAATGTACATGCCACCCTGTACAGAGATTTGCCTGATGCTTTGCCTGTGTTCATTGGGGAGAATGAAGCCAAAAAGGGCTGTACCATCACACAGATGGGGGACAACATCTTTGCAGCTGCTCTGTGAGTGTCATCAGTAAATAATATGAGTATAAATTAAAATGTATATAGATGCTGTTACTGTTCACCATTTCAGGTTCAAGTTTTCTTTTTCTTCATTTTTAACAATTCCGTTGCCTTCATTCGTTTATTTTAAATGGTCCTTTGGTGTGACAAATGAATTAATTAAAATTAAAATAAAGAGAAAAAATTGTAAAATATTTTTTATAGAATTTTAGTGACATAAACACCTTTGTTTTAAATATTCTATAATATTTTAATATTTAAAAAATCTTTTTCATCTTTCTCTTAGCATATTGTTATTCTCTCTCCCGCCACAACATCTAGGCTGTTTTTGCAGAAGAAAAGGAAGGAGAGGGGACAACAGAAGAACCAAGCAGCTTTGGACCAGTTAGAAGATGATTTAAAGCGAGAGGCAGAGAGGTTGGATTTGCCTGTGGAGCAGAAAACTAAAGCTATGAAACAAAGAGAGAAAAAGGTATGTTTTATAACGTGATGTAAAATGATTTGACACAACCACCTCTTTATCTCTGTGAAATATGTGTGGAAGTACCTGGGATGTGTTGAGCTTTCCTTAAACAAATAAATGATAATGCAATCAGTAAATAAAATAATTTGCTGATTTCCAGTCTGTGTTTTTTCTGTAGGTGGTCACAAAGACATTTCATGGAGCAGGAATTGTGGTTCCAGTGAATAAAAATAATGTTGGATATAGAGAATTGCCAGAAACTGATGGTAAACCTAAAAATCTGTCACAACCATTAACAGTGGATAGTGTGTGGAAAAAATGCTGCTGTCACATTACATTGTGCAACATCACTATCAAAATATATAAAGGGAGACAAAACAGTAAGACTTTAGTTTACAGTTTTTCCTTCTTCGTTTTGTTTACCTGTAGCAAGTCTGAAGAAGATTTGCAAAGCGATTGCAGAGGCCAAAGAGGATGAGGAGAGAATGAAAGCTTTTGCGCCCGTCCAGGAAATGATCACCTTTGTTCAATTTGCCAATGATGAATGTGACTACGGCATGGGCTATGAGCTTGGGATAGATCTGTTCTGTTACGGCTCACATGTAAGATTAACACACATACAAATATTCCAACAAAAGTTCAACCTTAAATCCTTGCACAAATTTATATTTAAGCATTTTCATTAGTTTTTGCTGTTGTCTTTACTATCTGGATGCCAAACGTTAGTCAGGTACTACTAATTTACTATTGAACATGCTCTTTAACAGTTTTATTTATCTATTTACAGCTGCAAACAATAATGCTAATTAATAATCAACAATAAAAATGTTTTTAGTTACATAAAATTCTCTTGAAGATAAGTTTAATACTAAAAAGAATAGAATCTAATAATAAAATAAAGAACAAAGAAACATTACAAGCAATAGAACCGAGCACTTGACCACTTTTGAGCACTTGTGTATGTAACTGTA